TCTATTCTATTCTATTCTATTCTATTCTATTCTATTCTATTCTATTCCAATTTCTTTTCTATTCCAATTTCTTCTATTCTTCAATTTTATTCTCTATTCTATTCTATTCTATTCTATTCTATTCTATTCTATTCTATTCTATTTCAATTTCTTTCCTATTCCTATTCCTACTCTACTCTACTGTATTCTATTCTATTCTTTATTTCCTTATTCTGTTCTATTCTTTATTTCATGATTCTACTCTAGTTCTAATTCTATCCCATCCTATTCTATTCTAGCAAGCCGAAAGACTTGTCAGGGAATAAAGATACCTCAATGTAAGCTGATGATTTGCACTTATGTTCTTAATCTGCCGTGTGAAAAGTGACCCCTTGTCTTTCCTCCACCCCCCACCCTCTGCTCCCCCTAGCCCACCTCGAAGAAAACCGTGACGGTGACCGAGATGCCCTCGGCCATCTTCCATTACACACAGGACGACACGCCTGTCCAGGAATTCGGCGCCACCAAGCCGGTCAACACCATCTTAGAAGCAGCCAAGAAAGACCTGCTGACCTTGATGAAGCTGGATGTGAGGGGTCTTAGCAGAGGGGAGAATTTGGGGTGGGAATCCCCCCTTTGGGAGCACCATTGGCAGTGCCAAATCCCCACTGTCTAGCTTAAGAAACCTTGCATGCTTTAGAAGTCATTTTTTTTTAAAAAAAAAGTTTAAAGCAATCTCCCTTCCCCTGGGCTACACATCCTCTTGACCCTTCAGCTCTGAAACAGAAGGGGGAATGAGGGAACTTCAAGGGGAAGTAGAAAAACGGCCGGGCTTCCCCATTTCAACTGTGTTTTGGTTTTTTTAGGAGTTTTAATGTACAAAGTAGAACATCGAAGTAGGGTGGGAAAATCTTCCTGGCCAACTTTTTAAAGGCTTTTGCTTTTTCACAACTTTTGGGATGGAGTTGATTAGCCATGATGGGGCAAACCAGGACCTGATGAAGATTCAACTCATGTTTCTCAACCTTGGCCATTTTAGGATAGGTGGACTTCAACCCCCCAGAATTCCTCAGCCAGTATCCTAAAATGGCCAAGTTTGAGAAGCGGTGAATTAGACACCCCCCCCCCCACACCCATTCAAATGTGCCAATGGCCTCTTTGTAAAGCATGCCAGGAAGGTTAATGTTGAGCACAATCTCTGAAGGTGCATCTATGAATCCTTCGAGGTTAGTAAGAAGGACTTGTGGATGAATCTGGTGGATGGGTTATCCCTCCGGCTGTAGAATTTTGGTGTTTTTTTTTTAAAGTGACTTCTTCAGTTTCTCCTGCTTTCCAAGTAGCAAATCTTCATTTCTAAAACTCAATTCCTTGATTTTTTTCCCCCCATTTGGTCACCTCTGTGCAGTGATCTCACTCCACATTGGCATGCACATTGGCAGTTAGGGAGAACTTCGGGACTTCTGCATGGACGTCCTGAAATCTTATTTTCATTTGCAGCGCTAACAAAGGAGGCAAGCATTTTTCTTATTCTGTTTTTTTTTCTTGTCTGCTCGCTTAGGATCTCTCTCTCTTAAACGGGAAAGTGACCCTCCATCAAGTCACTGCAGGGACGATGGTGTCACGGCAAGGTGACCAGGTGAGCAGCCGAACACACAGGTGACGTGGGAGTACTAATGAGAGCTTATAAAACTTAAGCTTGTTTGGACACACGGAACTGGGAAACGTACACATCCTTCCATGCCACGAACGGGAAGGTTCGGCCTTCCTTGCGTACGATGGCCGTGTTCGACTTGCTCTCTCGTAGGATGTCAGCATCCGGTTCGTGATCTCGGGGGTCCTGCATGTCTACCAGCGGAAGATCGATTCGGAGGAAGAGACCTGCCTGTTTGTCACCCACCCAGGCGAGCTGGTGGGGCAGCTCGCCGTGCTCACGGGAGAGCCGCTGATCTTCACCATTAAGGCCAATCGCGATTGCACATTCTTGGCGATCTCCAAGTCCCAGTTTTATGAGTGAGTCCCTTCTTTCCTTCTTCCTTCTACAGGCCATCCTGATTAGATTAGATTAGGTTAGATTAGATTAGATTAGATTAGATTAGATTAGATTAACAAAGTTGGAAGGGACCTTGTAGATCATCTTCTAGTCCAAGGATCTCCAACCTTGGCAACTTTAAGACTTGTGGACTTCAACTCCCAGAGTTCCTCATCCAGCAAAGCTCTTTCTCTTTCTCGTGAGTTTTCAGCCTTTTTTCAATTTCATGGAGTGTTGTACTTTGGTTTCATTCTCTCATATATGTGAGAATCTGCCTGCCTGCCTATCTACCTACCTATCTACCTACCTATCCGTCCGTCCGTCCATCCATCCATCCATCCATCCATCATCTCTCTCTTTCTGTCTCTCTCCCCCTCCCTCCCTTTCTCCCTCTCTCTCTCTCTCTCTCTCTCTCCCCTGTTAAGTAAGGACCAAGCAAAGTCCTGAGTTGACTTCTTTACCCCGCCTTCCTTTCTTCTCCACGCATCCCAATGATAGTTTAATTAAAGCTGGATCCAAGAGCCCTCCTACCCTGCCCTTAGCTAGAAGGCAGGGACCCTGTATTTAACACATCACAGCTGGGTGTCAAGCCAAAGTGTGTAATTATCTGGCAGCTGTTCCATACTTCATCCTGCGGTGGTAGAGGCAGGCCGCTGGCAAAGGCTGGGGCATCCCTGCTCAACTGGTTTGGTTGGCGCATACCAGTGCCTGGGCAGGAGGCAATGATGGTTGTTAGTCCTGGCTCAATTGTCGCAGATTCTCACATATATGAGAGAATGAAACCAAAGTACAATACTCCGTGAAATTGAAAAAAAGGCTGAAAACTCACAAGAAAGAGAAATAAAAACACCAACTTTCCCCAGACAGACAGACAGACAGAACATAGATATATGCTAGAGAGATGATAGATGAGAAAGAGAATGAGAAAAAAGAGATAGTAAATGATAGATACAAGATATAGATAGATACATGGATGGAGGATAGACAGAAAGACAGACACGGAGACACACACATTACATACATGCCGGTTGCTAAGTAAGTGTCCGAATTTTGATCACATATCTGCAGGGATGCTGTGGTGGTCAAGTGCAAGGAAGGATTGTAAGGGTCCTTTTTTTAGTGCCACTGTTGCTTTGAATGGTAACTAAACCCATAGCTGTAAGCCGAGGACTACCAATATCATAGGGGCGTGGGAGGCCTTGCAGGGGACCATATTCTTAACCGCTTAGCACCCAACCAGCCCTTTTGGGGGGGTTCAACCCCCCCACCCACCCCCATAGTGAACCTTCCCTTACGGGGTGTGTGTGTGTGTGTGTCTCCTTCCAGGATCATGCGTGAGCAGCCCACAGTGGTCCTGGGAGTGGCTCACATGGTGGTGAAGCGCATGTCGTCCTTTGTGAGGCAAATCGACTTCGCCCTGGACTGGATGGAGGTAGAAGCTGGGCGCGCTGTTTACAGGTAGGAGCTCGGGAATTGGCCCCAGGGCCAAAGGAGAAGGGATAGGCCTCGAATTAACGACCGCAATAGGGGCTGGCAAATGAACAAGCCATAATGAGGCGCTGCGCGGCGTCACCCAAATGCCATCGCTGAAGTCGGGTGTCAGGGCTGTAGCCGCATCTCTCAGAGTTAAAAAAATGTGATTTATTAGGAGTGACCATGTCAGTATTATCTGGGTGCAGCTGACACTAAAATGCATCATTCATTTCCCCCTTGACCCTGGTCTTCCCCTCACTCCCTGGATGTGTATTCTCCAACGGGACACATCCTTAGCCAAGAGTCCCCAATCATGCTCTCCAGTAATATCCTTGTGCTCCGACAGCTTTGGGCTGCCAAGGTGATTATCTGAGGCATTTAAGGAATGCACTGCTTTCCCCCCCACTCCCTTTCTGCTGGCCACTAAAAAGACCAAGGAAGGTTTTTTGTTTTTTTTTAGTTGACATCGGGAAGCGAAGCACCGTGGTCTTTAAGCGAGACATCACAAGGCTTCTACCCTGCCGTCCACTTTTCTCTCCGGAGGCCAGCTGGGAAGGTCGCTGAATGGCTATCCCGGGCCTGTGGGAGTGTTGGAACGGTCATAAGCACGAGGACCAGTCAAAAGTCCCATTGGCAGTTCAATCCTCACTGGGCTCAAGGTTGACTTGGCCTTCTGCCTATTGAGGTCGCTGAAAGAAGGACTTGGATTGTCGGGGGCAAATTTGCTGAGTCTATAAACCGCTTAGAGAAGGCTGTAGAGCACCGTGAAGCGGGATATAAGTCTTAAGGGCTATTGCTATTTTTTTTCCCCAGTGACTTATAAAAGTCACTAAACCAACGGTTGTAAGTCGACGACCAGTGCACACACAGCAAATAAAATTCAGAGGGTTGCTTTCCCACGCTTTCCCACACATAACTGGACATTTTCGCACTTTTGTGGTTCACTTTCCTGGGCACTTTTTCCACACACTTTCCTTCTTTCTCGGGACTTGGTGAAACCTCCTGTCCTGGCAGTTCCATCTTCCTTTCCCCGTTGCCAACCCCTTCCTTCTCACAGCCCACCTTCCTCTCCTCTAACCCCCGTTCTCCTTCCTAGACAGGGGGATCATTCGGACTGCACCTACATTGTCCTGAATGGACGTCTCCGCTCGGTCATCAGGCAGGACGACGGGAAGAAACACCTGACAGGCGAATACGGCCGGGGGGACCTGATTGGCGTGGTAAGGAGAGGAGGAGGCTTGTTTTACAAACCTGGCGGGGAAAGTTGTAAACTGGGACGAAACTCGTTTGACAAATTCCTCACTTGGCCACCTACGTTTTGGGCTCAATGGTGGTCGTAAGTTGAGGATTACCTGTATCTCTTGAGGTGCTGTTCTGACCGAGGCTTCGCAGGATCATCCCGATAAAACCCCTTTTATTTAGGTTATAAAGCAAAGTCCTGGCTATCTTCCATGAGATTTCACAACCACAGACCTTTATCATGTTTGGAGAGTTGCCAGGCCAGTACCTTCCAAACACCACACTATAGCAGCAATTACTTGGCAAGAAGTCAGGAACAGATCTTCACACTAATTAAACGAACTAATTGTCTCCTGCAAACCCCACTCCCCTTTCGCTCCTCTTTATTCCCTCTGGGAGGAGCCATCCTCGGATGGACACCGGTTCACGGGACTCCCCTTGGGCTCCATTATGGCCACAAGTCAACTTACAGCCACCATGGAGCCCCGATGTCTGTCGTTAAGTGAAGCATATGTGAAACGGGTTATGTTTGTTCTTTTCTTCTGTAAAAGTTGGAATGGAAAAGGTAATAATAGAATTAAATAAAAATTGGATAAGATAGGAAGTTGAATGTAAAAAATGAATATATAACTATTGTCATATTTGCATGTAAAAGTGGTGATCCGGAAATATGTTTTTCACGGAAAAGAAATTGGTGGAACGGGTTTTGTCCTCTTGCTCAGTTGTTAATGCTCAAATAATTCCAGGTGGAGAACATTATCTAACACCCCTTCCTCCTCCTGTTTCCCCCCCCAAAAAATACAACTCTGTGAGGTGGGCTGGGCTGAGAAACAGGGACTGGCCCAAGGTCACCCAGCTTTCATGCCTAAGGCAGGACTAGAACTCCCCATAATGACCTAGGGATCAGCAGAAAGTCACCCAGCCAGTTTTTACCACTAAGGTGGGACTAGAACTCCCAGTCTCCTTGTGATTGGCCCCAAATCACCCAGCTGGGCTTCATGGCTAACTCAGGACTTGAACTCATGGTCTCCTGCTTGGTGCCTAACCACTAGGCCAAAGTGGCTCTCTTATGGTTGCAAATTATGATTGATTAAAGGACCGATAAGCCGACATTGTGAAGCAGCCCGCGACATTGGGCTCCATGGTGGCTTTTTATAACCCTTGGCTTTCAAAACGGTATCAGCTACAAAAAATAAAAAATCAAGGTTAAAGTAAAGCCATAGGTACTGACTTTGAGCCCTGGCCTCTCAACGAAGCTTATTTTTATGGTTTTTATTGAAACGCACAGAGCCTCAGCTATTCTAAAGGCCTTTGGACAGATTGATGGTCATTGATGTCCATAAGCAGCCTGTTGCACCATAAGGACTCCAGAGAATCTAATCTTGAATAAGTGCCCAAACCTTCCGCCACAAAAAATCCGGCCGTCAATAACAATCGATCTCGGCTAATTAAAATGTGCTCCTGCGTTGCTTAATCAACCTGCCTTTCCCTCGACGGAGATTTCCCAACCTTTTGCAAAAAGCATCAATGCCTGCAAGGGCGTGTAAGGGGTTTAAGCGCCCTCCTTCTTGGGAGTGAACAAGGATTGTTATCTTGACATGGGGGAAAAAAATAATAATGGCGCGATTAATCCCTAATTTTGTCTGAGAGGCAAGGAGCAATTTCCCACGGAGCGGTTGATTAAACGCTGCGTTGAAATCCGAAGAAGATCCCTGCCTTGAACAGAGGAGGGCCAATTAGCTTCCTCTTTAAAGGCAGAAGGCTTTGATGTGATCGATCTTCCTGGAGAAACCTCCCCCCCTCTCTCTCTCGGGGCTCTTTTCGGATATTTTCTTCTGCTGTGGAACCGGGCTTTGAATCCTGAACAATTTCTTCCAAAACAGAGGGAGATTTCATAGGACGGAGAAGCATCGGGCTGGCAAGGTGTGGAGGTCTTCTAGTCCAACCCTTGCTCAAGGCAGTAGACCTTATACCATCCCAGTCTGTCGTGGTACCTTGGCCCTTGGCTGCTTTGAATTTGGTACTCCCAAGATTTTATGTCAAGCTAGAACTAGTGTCGGCTGCCTTACGACTCACTACATTATTCCTTATGGGGAAATAAAAAAAGGACAGAAGAAGGCAAAGCCATTCTTTTAGCCCTTATGGAGAAGTTCACCCTTTCTAGCTGCACATTGAGGTTCTCCTTCTCCTTTGCAGCGTCCCAGAGACAAACAGGCCCTTTTGGAGACACGTTTCAGTGCCGTCCGTCTCCTCTTTCTGGCATGGTGAACAGACTTTTTTTGTCTACTCATCAAGAGAGAGAGCCCTCCGATTCTTTGCTCAAACGCGAAGTGTCTTGGCGGCCTCAACGGTGCAGCACTAAATGTTGGCTTTCCTTCAGCAGGACCAAGATCCTTGGCAGGCGGGAGTGGCCCTAAGTGGGTTTTTCGAAGGAGACATTCTGTTTTTGCAGAATCTCCAGGGTTTCGTTCTTCTTGGCTGTTCTTCTTTCTCCTCCTCCTCCAATCCCATTCTAAAGCGTGCATCCCCCTCCATTTCCAGAGAGTTTGGATGGAGATACCTGTTTGGCTACCGTTGTGGGGCTCCATTGTGCCTTCAGTGCGAAAAGCAATCAGCTAAAATAACAGGTGCCATTCTCCTTCACTTGCCAAACAAAAAATAACCTCCAGTTTTGGTCATCACGATATTAAAAAAGTTGTTGAGACTCTAGAAAGTGTACAGAGAAGAGTAATAAACATGATTAGGGAACCAAAAGCTAAAATATATAAAGAGCGGTTGCAGGAACGGAGTAGGTCTAGTTTAATGAAAAGAAAAATTGGGGATGACACGATAGTCTTCTAATATTTGAGGGGCTGTCCCAAAGAAGAGGGGGGTCAGCCTCTTCTCCAAAGAACTTGAGGGAAGGACAAGAAGCAACAGATGGAAACTAATCAAGGAGAGAAGCAACTTAGAACGAAGGAGAAATTTCCTGACTATGGGAACAATTAATCAGTGGAACAACTTGCCACCAGAAGATGGGAATGCTCCAACACTGGAGGTTTTTAAGAAAAGATTGGACAACCATTTGTCGGAAGTGATGTAGGGTTTCCAGGCTGAGCAGGGGGTTGGACTAGAAGACCTCCAGGGTCCCTTCCAGCCCTGTGAGCCTGTCTATGATTCCATTGGTTGCTAAGCCTCGTCTGACTTGGATCTTTCTTCTCCTGCTCAGCTGGGGTTTATTGTGGATGCAAAGCAGCAGGAAGCCAGAGTTCAAAGCCCAAGAAATGTCAGCCTCCCCCACTGGGCAGAAGGTGACAAATCGCGGCTCAGCTGCTGTTGTACTTTCCTGCATTTGGGAAGGGGGGTCGTTCTGTGCTTGCTAAGAGCTCAGGGACCTCACAATTCGACCTGGAGCTACAAATATTCCCTTCTCTATTTGTTCTGCCCTTGCCAGAAACTGTCAGGCTCCCCTGCAGGCTGAAGAAGTTCGATCAGATCAGAATAGAACTGGAAGGGACCTCAGAGGTCTTCCAGACCAACCCTTTGCTCAAGCAAGAGACCCTGTCCCATTTGAGACAAGTCTCTTCTTTAAAACCTCCAGTGATGGAGCCCCCACAACTTCCGAAAGCAACTTCTGTTCCACTACTTGATTGTCCTCCCTGTTCGGAAATTCCTCCTTAGTTCCAGCTTGCTCCTCTCCTGGGTTAGTTTCCATCCGTTGTTTCTTGTCCTACCTTGTTCGCTGTTCTGACCATTCTGCAAGTTGTTCTGTTGCTTGTTTGTTCTCATCTCGGTTCTCAAGAGCCTCTTGCGAATAGCGGATAACAAAACTACTAACTGGGGGTCTCTGCTGTGTATATCAAGTTAGGTTCCTTGATAAAGCATCAAGATTGGTCGGCATAGATGTCATCTCTAGAAAATCCTCTAGTCACACTTAGCGGAAATCACTTTCCTAACAACCTTAAGGACATTTCTAAATAACTAGAAATATTTCTTCAGGATTCAAGAAACACTTTGAGCTTCGTCACCCAGTAATTTCACTAATTCAAGACAGGACATTTGTAGTCTGGGAAGTGGTAGAATGCTCTCTCTCCCTCTCTCTCTCTCTTTTAGCAGATTGTATTTGGGAATTAAAGCACATTTTTATTCTGAAAAACAGAATATGAGAGTTGGGAGGAATCCTGGAGAAAGATGGCTTCCCAACTCCCAGAATTCTCAGCAGCGCAGGGGGGATTCTGGGAGCTGAAGTAGCTACACATCTGGAGACTCTTCCAAAAGGGATGCATGAAAGGAATGGAAATATAACTTTCTCATATTTTATCCCTCTCTTAAACTATTGTACTTTATTCCAATGTCATTTCAGACTGTATTTTATTCCAATTCTGTTTGCAATCGTATTTTATTGTAATTTCATTTGAAATCGTACTTTTATTCCAATTCCATTTGAAATTGCTTTTATAAAATTTTAGTAAATAATTTGTTTCTGGAACTCTGCACTTGGATATGGCTAATCAAAGTGCAGAGCTAATCAATAAAAATCTATTGTGAAAGAAGAAGAAGAAGAATATCCAGATTCTAGCGTGGTTTGTGAACGATAACCAGGGCCTTCTCAGCAACGAGCCAATGGTTTCTGACACAATTTGAATAACAAATTTTATTTTTTTGTCTCTCCCTGCCAGGTTGAAGCACTAACTCACCAACCCAGGGCGACTACCGTACACGCCGTTCGGGATTCGGAGCTGGCCAAACTTCCAGAGGGAGCGCTGATCTCCATCAAACGCAAGTTCCCCCAGGTAGGAAGGAAAATCCGCCTGTCCTCTCAACTCAGGTGAAGAATTACTAAAAAAAAACCCACAAAAAAAACAGCCCTTCGTTATCTATGGAGACCAAGTGGAGCAAGTGGCCAGTTTTAAGTTTCTGGGTGTTCCCTTAAAAGAGGACCTGACCTGGGGTTGCTCACATTGCAGCACCAGTCAAAAGAGCCCAGCAGAGATTATACTACCTATACTTACTACTACTATAGGTCCCTTCCAACTCTGATTATCTGTTATTTATTTATCTGTTATTTAACGACTCCATAATCCCTTGCGGGGTGGAGTCTGGGCCACTGAATGGAGCTGAGTGTTTACTGGCTGGATGCCCTTCCCTGTCGCCAGTGCAGAGTTCTATCCAGCAGATAAATTCTCATCGTGCCCAGAGAGAGAGAAAGATCTGCCTCCACCTAGGATCGAACTCACAGCCTCCCGATTAGGAGGCGAGAGCTCCACCTCTAGGCACACCGCACCACTCCGCCACAGCACAAGCAGATGTCAGGCACAATTCCTTTCCTCCCGTTAGACTACAAAGCACCTTTATCCTCTGCACGGCGAAGACGGGTCGCTCCCAATGCCACCAAGTGGCCGGGACTCCTTTTCCTTTCCCCCGATGGGCTGCCAAGATTTGAAAGAAGTGCTAAATTGCTGGAGAAAAAGCGTGGTTGTCTCGTTGCAGCTTTTTTTTTTCTTTTCCCCCTTCCTTCTTTCCTTTAAAAAGAAAACACGAGTTTACTGACATCTTAGGCGTCGAGAAATGGAAGTTTTTTTCCCCCCCCTCTCTCTTTCCACAGAAGAAGAGAGGGTGCGACAGCATGCCTCCTTTCCTTAAAGCAGAGCAGCTTTTAAACTCCAAAGGAGAATGCGTGCCAGACGCATTGTTCCAACCCAAAATTGATGTTCCTGCTAGGTTGCCATAGCAGCCGCAGAGTGACTCACCCAGTGGCAGAAGGCAGCTTGCCGTGCCGGGGCTCCACGTTTGTTTTCAAGCCCATCATGGTCACGTGAAGACAGGCTGCAAAGCACACCCCCCCCTCTCTTTCTCTCTCTCTCTTTCCCACCCCACTCCTCCTTCCCTGATCTTCCTGGGCTTCAGAAGTTCACGCCAGAGTCCTGACGAACATCTGACTTCAAGACACTGGGCGTTCCTTCTTTCCAATAATATTTATTCCGTTTTCCAAAGGAACCCGCATCAACTCACAACCCCAAAAGGAGCGATGAAGAGGAAGAAAGAGGGATAGAAGTGTGAAAACAATATAAAGAAAGCAAAAAACGAAAACAGGAGGTCCTTGATGGTCTCTGAGTTTGGTTGCATGACCCAAACTAGGTAGCGTCGTTAGTGCTAGAAGGGAGACAGAGCCAACCCCACCCCCTCCTAGCACTGATGGTGTTACCAGCTGGGTGGTGAAACGTCTCTGCAAGAAAGCAGCCAAGCTCCGTCCCTTCATTTCCTCCCTAAGCCACAAATATTCTCCTCCGTTGAAAGCACAAATATGTACAAAGAATGACTTCTGACTTTTTCCCCAGGCTTCTAAAAAAAGCTAACTTTTGTTTCTTAGTTTAAGAATACAGTAAAATGTCCAATTTCGCCCCAAAACATGAGTTTACCTCTACCTTTAAAAGTGATGGGATATTTTTTTCCATAAAAGGTCCTCTCCATTTTGGCAGCCCTCCAGCGGAAAGTTTCTTCCGGGGCTCTTAAGGCTGTGATCCATGATTGTGATTTGCTTCTCTGGTGTTTTTTTTCCTCCACCTCCATCCTTACAGGTCGTGACGCGACTTATCCATTTGCTGGGTGAGAAGATCCTTGGGAATCTACAGCAAGGGGGTAGGACACCGAATGCTTCGGCTCTTTCCCTTGCTCCTTGGGGTGTGGGGGGGGGGGGGGGGGGGGGGGGGGGGGTTGCTCTCTCTCTCTCTCTCTCTCTCTCTCTCTCTCTCTCTCTTTTGCTAAACTGCCACTTCAGATTGTAAATTCAGGAATATCGAGAAAGCTTTTTGAGGGAAACCTCTCTTCTCCTTGTCCTACCTCGTCAATCCACATATCATCTCTTCACCCACCTCAGCTGCGCCTCACTTCCTTCCTTCCTTCCTTCTGTGTTCCGTTTTTACCCCGTGTTTCTATTCTTAGGATGCTCGAGGTGCCTGCCAGTCAAAGGAAAAGACAGAATAGTTAAAAACACCCATGATTATGAATCCCACTCAAAAAGCCCCATGGGAAGCGGGGTGGGTGGGAATGAGGTTCTTGTCTCCTTTGGCTGCCAGGAGAACTTAATTAGAATAATTAGAATGACAGAGTTGGAAGGGACCTTGGAGGTCTTCTAGTCCAACCCCCTGCTTAAGCAGGAAACCCTACACCACGCCAGAGAAATGGTTATCCGGTCTCTTCTTAAAAACTCCCAGTGTTGGAGCATTCACAACTTCTGGAGGCAAGTTGTTCCACTGATTAATTGCACTGTCAGGAAATTCCTCCTTCGTTCTAGGTTGCTTCTCTCCTTGATAACCTCTCATCCGTTGCTTCTTGTCCTGCCTTCAGGGGCTTTGGAGAATAGCTTGACTCCCTCTTCTTTGGGGCAGCCCTTTAGATGTTGGGACACTTCTTATCATGTCACCCCCCAAGTCCTTCTTTTCATTAAACTGGACGTACCCAGTTCCAGCAACCGTTCTTCATATGTTTCATCCTCCAGTCTTCTAGTCCTCTTGGTTGCTCTTCTCTGCACTTTTTCTAGAGCCTCAACATCTTTTTTTTTACATCGTGGCAACCGGAACGGAATGCCGTATTCTTAAGCACGGCCCAGAATTTAGGTGCCACTCAGAGGAGGCCGGTTGCTTGCACGTTTCCCCTTTGCCCCTCTGTCTTTCAGAGCCCACCTTTACAATAAGGTGCTTATAGAGTACAGGTATTCCCTGACTTACGACCAGCTGTGTATGACCATCGCTGCATCCCCACAGTCGTGTGGTCAAAATTTAGGCGCTTGTGCCCAGCACGTATTTATGAAGGTTTGTGCAATGTCCCAGGGCCCCCGGTTCCTTTTGACACCTTCCCAGCCAGATCCACTTCCGCAGCCCTCTTCGATTCACTCAAGAACTGCAGTGAGTCACAAAAAGGCTACCAATTTGGGCATGATTCATGTAACAACCGGCTTAGCCACAGAAATTCTTCTCCCAGTTGCTGTCATAAGTCAAAGGCTCCCTGTTCCCTCGTTATGAATGATTGACGAAGCTGTAACTCTCGTGGATCTTGAAAAGAAGCTCGCCGTCCAGCATCGGGTGGCCTGTTTTGTACTGATTGATTGACCGGTTTGATTTGACTTGATTTCCATCTCAGCAAACACCTCTGGGCGGCTCACAATTCAGAAACCTACATTACAATGAAAACCTTGAAAACATTTTTAAGACAATAAAACAACAGTGGAAACTTTTAAAATGCTAAAAAAAATATATGCCGTGTTAACAACATGTCCTATTGTTAACCCTGTAGGAGATGAGCCCGAGGGAGGGGTAAAATGCATCCTCAGTCATGAATCCCTGCGTGCCCACAAGTGATCTAAGTCCAGCCCGCCTTGAATGCCTTTCTTATCTCCCGCTCACTTCCCTTGTCCGTTAGTTGGTCAGATTCTTGTAGAGACCTCAAGCTTGCAATAAATCTTGGACTCTCATTTAAACTGCCTGAATCTCCTGATTTCCCACTTCTTGGACCCATCTTCTCAAGTTTCACGCTAGCGCTAGTTTTGCGATGAGGTTCTGCATGCTTCTTCCCTTGTCCTCAGATTAGGACGTGGGGCAAGCAGCAGCCTACGGGTCTTCTCCAACGGCTTTCCTTTTCCCCAGGGCACCAGTTGGGCCTACACACCGCCAGCAGTAAGTGGGACGCCAGCAACCCGGCCAGCAATCTCGCCACGGTGGCCATCATGCCTGTCTCGGAAGACGTGCCTCTCTCGACCTTCACCCTGGAACTCAAGCATGCCCTCTGTGCCATCGGTAAGACCTCCCGGGGCTCTGGTGGCTTCAGGCTAACCCTAACCCTGAGATGATGGAAGGGGACCCGGATGTCCAGGAGAAGCACCTCAAATTTGGGACCAGTGGAACAACTTGCCTCTAGAAGTTGTGGGTGCTGGAAACCCTCCCGTGTTGGAGCATCCGCAACTTTTAGAGACAAGTTTGTTTCGCTGGTTTAGTGAAACAAGGGATTGGGCCGCGCTTTGTGGGAAATGGTTGCAGGGTTTCCTGCCTGAGAAGGGGAATTGGACCAGATAGAAGGCCTCCAGGGTTCCTTCCCACGCCGTTACTCTGTTCTTCGTGGCCTGAGACGGAGCTAGAACCAGGCGCCAGCCAAGGGACGGGCAGGCGTGTGATGTGAGCTGCACATGCAGCTTTCCCTGAAGGGCTGGCATGATGACTCACCCAGAAATGTGGATGGAGGGAGGGGAGAGAGGGAAGGGAAAACGACAGGTAGCCGGCTGTGGGGTTGCTGTTTATTTTCTGTCCTCTTTAAAAAAAAAAAGAAAAAAGGCTGTCAGACAAAAAGGTTGCAAAAACCAGCTGGGGGCTGGCAATGGGGGCGGGTGGGGGAAATCTACCGGCGTGGCCATGGCTCTTGGCCGTGGCAACCCGCTAAAGCAGTGGCACTGCGGAGAGGGAAACGAATCTAAATAAATAACCTACATAAATCTGCATAACGGGGCAGAGTTTATCACACACACACACACACACACACACACACACACACACACACACACAC